TGAGCTGTGGCGAGGTTTGTCAGCGCAGACACAGCTTGAGAAAAACTTGAAGCCACAAGCCTGCAATCAAAATTAAGTAAGTGGACCCTCATGCAACAAACCGGAGGCCTTAAATTTTATGGGTCCTCCCCACACACGAAACTGATGAAGGTGACCCTGATGAGCTATTTAGTGAAGTCATTCTGCATTGTGAACAGCAAACCAAGAGCATTTCTCCAGCAAGAACAAGAAAGACCCACCTCACAGTGATTGATGAGAATGTTATAAAAGTGCAATGAGCTGGAAAGTCATCATCTTGTCTTTTCCTTTTGCCACCGGAACGGCATAGCAGAGAGATCTCTTTTCTTCTGGTTCTGCATAAGGAGAGGTTACATGGCATGGAAATGTGTTACACCCAGCTGCTCACTAGTTTGCAGGGCACACAGTAAATAATACTGTTTAGTATATCTAAGGCACAAAAGAGAACAGCACTCTTTTGATGGTGATTCCTAGCCTCTTTCATTTGCTTTCCAGTTTGCTTCCAATTCATTGAGTGGCATTTTGCAACAGTGCATACTTTAGTGTGGTGGGTTCTCTGATTGGTGGGTTGTTGTTGGGGTCCCCCCCTTAACTGGCATGAGTAAATGAAAGGTTACTTAGGCCCTGGTGTAGCAGAGGCACTTCAGTTTGTTTAAAGTTGTTTGCTGAACTGAGCAATATCTAAATTAACCCTCTGAATTCATTCTGTGTGAGCTTCATTGGTAGCAGGAGAAAGCCCCAATTGCTTACCACCATCAAGATTTCTTTGGCACAATGGTATTTTATTTTGAAAATAATACATTGTTTGAAAACTTGCTTTTTTCATCTTTTAAGGTTTCATTCTATTGATCAGTTCCTAGGGCAAGCTCAAATTATTTTGCGCTTTTTTCTTCTGAATTTGAAAGTTGGGGCAGTATACCGACCTTAACACTTATTCTACGTCTGGAAATGCATTATTTATTTAATACATTTAATACATTTCTATACTGCCCTTCATCTGAGGATTACAGGGCAGTTTATATTTGCCACAACTCCTCACTCGAAAAAAAAACCAAAAAACTTGCTAGTTGGATTCCTGTTCCTCTTACCAAGCTTACCCTTGACAAATTTACCCTCTATATTTCTTGGGGATGTCCCACAGTCCAGTGGGGCAGCATGCAGAAGGTCCCATGTGCATTCCTAGTTAGACTGGCAGAACTGTGAAAAATCTTTTAGATTTTTGACACAGTGAATATATCAACGTCATATAAAGTCAACTGCCTTATACCAAGCCAGACCTTTGGTCCAGTTAGCTCAGTATTGTCAACTCTACACTGACTGGCAGTGGCTCTTCTGGGTTTAAGACAGGTATGTTTAAGCCCTACCTAGAGATGCCGGATATTGAGCCTAGAACCTTCTCCATGAAAAGCAAGTGTTCTCCACTGAGCTCCACAAAGTATTCCAATGTGGCAGACTCCCTCTTCCCCTCTATGATGTTTCTTCCCCCATACTTTCCAAGGAGTTGATCCACAGAAAGAATTAGCTTTGCTCCTGCTTTCTGGCCCACCTGTTTTCCTCTCATAATGGGATGGGCAGAGGAAGAACAGAGAACTCTTCCTCTGGTCCATACATTGGGAGAAATGTACGGTGCCAGGGAGCAAAAAGTTACCAGAACGCATTTGTGGACAAAGGTTCATCTTCGCCCCTCCATCATGTGGCTTTAGCATGGATTCATGGGAAGTAGGTGTGGTTTTGTAGAAACAGTGGTTACTTAACTTCTCCCAGTCAACTCTATATTACTTTATTCAGGGACAGTGAAGAACAAGCTGTTTTATTGCATGACCTTTCTCAGTTTCCCAGGAACCTAATCCCTGAAAAAAATAAGTTCAGCCCAAGCCCAAGGGACCACCTCCCACCGTCATGGCCACAAATGTGTACTTACCTATAACAACCTATCTTGAATGTAACTGTCATAATAGTAGGGCAGCCCTAAGCAGATTCTTCTAGGTCTTAGATTGCAGAGTTTGAGAACCTCTGGTCTGAGCAAGTTAGACGTCACAGAAAGGTGTTCCATATAAGAAGGTTGTAAGGTTTGCACATGGGTAAGTATACTGCGACTAAGATCAGTCCCCAAGTCTATTTTCATAATTCAAATGCCTCGTTGAATTTCTGCCGGAGTTGTCTTACGAAAATTGTGTCGCCCTAGTCAACCTGAATATGCAGAGTAAGGAGGTGGTGAAACATTCAGATGCTCTTATTTGAGTAAACTTGATCTCCTGATCTGAAGCTGCTTGCAAATGTTTTTTTCCCTCCCCCCTTGGTGCATTGTTTCAGCTTCCTAATCACTGACCAGCTGTCTTGTTAGTGAATAGAGCTGTGGGCCCCTTGCCATGTTTCATGTGAGGTCTTGGCTGGGTGGCCAAGCAGGCAGCCTGCAGCCACTGTCAAAGCAATTCAAGAGGTATTGGCACAGCAGTGCCACCATTAATTTCTGCTTGTCACATGCTGTCATGCAAGTTACACCAGAGAGGAAATGACCGTTGAAAAAAGTGTGCTTGTGGCACTTTGTCCCCTCTAGACATTATCCCTGAGGTTAAACAAGTGGATACAATTAGCTGCTGTCCACAAACAGCTGTTAGGAAAGAGAAACCCAGATCTGGGCCCCATGGCCATGTGTCTTTCCTGTTGGTGAGGAGAGCCTGCTATCAACATCTGCCATACTTTAACCCTTCATTGAGGTGTTAATTTCGACTGTATAGAGCCAAATCGATGACTGACGGCAATCCTATGTGTGTCTGTTCAGAACTAGTCCCATTAGTTCAGTGTGACTTACTCCTAGGTAAGTGTACGTAGGATTGCAGCCTGTGAGCTGTAATTCTGAATCAGTAGACAGGATAACAGAGTACTGAGTGGGTTAGCTCGAGATGCACGGCCAATAAAAACACACTACTCTGTATTTCATTCCCAGAAATGTGCCTGTTTGCAGTACTACTTAGTTCAGGAGCTTTAATAAATGTATAGTTCTCATGATCACATTTACTGGTTTAAAACAAGTATTTATTATTCAGGAAGACCTCTGGGATTGATAAGTAACTAGGAGATTCCTAAATTTCCTTTCAGCAGGCTTAAGAAAGATTCACTAAAATCTTTTGGTGAATGGCCTGGTAGTCATCTGGCAGGATGAAGATAGTATGTCATATCTTGGCTGATGCTCACATTAAATTTTGGCATGGTAAGATCATCACCATGTTCTCCTTTTTTTTTTTTATCTCATCGGTTTGGAGTGGCCTGTATATTTTCCTGGAAAGAGTATCAAGGGTAAAGCTTGAGAACTAGCTCCTTAACATACCCTGTCAACTGTCAAAAGTGAATTCATAAGAATTTTTCACTGTGTGAGATTGGTGAGCTTATATCACCATTCTCACAACAATTCATGTTGAAATAGAATATGTAGAAATTAGTATTCAGAATGACCTTGGCATAGTTAACCTTTGTCTTGTACAACTCTCCGAGCTCTCATCTGGGAGCTTTCCTTTCTTCTCCCAGTCTCCTATCCTGGGATATCTTCCTTTCTCTGCCTCTCACACAGGGTCTTTTACCTGCCAACCATCACATTTTTAGTGTTATGAAAAGAAACTAAAATGTAGAATTGTAGGTGGAGACTTATGGAATGGTACAGGTGACAAAACAGGTGCATTTCCCCCCATTTGTATGCATTTGAACATGTAAAAGACAGAAGCAGTAAACATGATCACCAAATATCTGTGAATATTCTGTGTTGCTTTGGTTCAGATTTTAATATTTATTGGTCGTTATAGTGATCCGATTCATTTTTTTAAAAAAATGCTACAAAACTCAGCCCTTCGGTTGAGCAATTAAATGTCGTGTGTGTAAATTATCATGTTGGATTAAAGCAGATGTGGGAATCCAGTGACTCCAGATGCTGGACTCCCATCAGCCCCAGCTGGCATTCTCAGTGGCCAGGGATGATTGGAGTTCTACTGCAACAGCATCTGAAAGACCGCAGGTTCCACACTCTTGGATTAGATAATGCATTTTGAATGTGAAATTGATTAAGGAGGCTCAAAAGCCTTGAGAGCTTGCAGGTCAAAGCTCTTGTGACTGTGCCAAACACCCCTGTCACCCTTGCATTTAAGTCTTGTGAACTCTGCAGGTGTGAATACAGGAGATGGCACCTTTTCAAGGCACTGCTCTCAAGAAATTTGCATCAGGTTTTTAATAAATCTTTTTGGTTTTATGATTCCTCATGTTAAAAAACTGTTCTGGGTGCTTTATGAGTAGAAGAATGGTGTATAAATAATATATTATTTACTAACTACATGCTTTTAATTGTCAAATGTTAATAGCCTATTTCTGTTGTGCAAATTCTAATAACATAGAGACTTATGTTTATCAGCTTGCTCATAATCCACCCTATATGAAAAGTTAGTCTTACTAATGTAATTCCTGTTGATTTATGAGGTAGAATGGGACTACGGGAGAGGAGGGAGAGCCCCTGGAGCTGCATGAGTCCTCTGGCCACTTCATGTGTTTACAGCAAATTTCTTCAGCAGGAAGCTTTGTGTATCTAGATGTTTCCCATATGAATGGGACTCTTGATCTTCCAGGGTCTTTATTCCATGGAAAGCCTCCATGAATACACAAGGCTCCCCATTGCAGCACTTTCCTGCAAACATATAATAATAATAATTTATTATTTATTCCCCAGGCACTCTGGGCAGCTCCCAACAGAATTAATGATGTTGATGATGATAAAAATGTGCATTAAGAGGGCTGTTTGTGTATCTAGGTACACAAGCATAGGTACACTTATCAGAACCATGTGCATGTTTATTCAGGAGTAAGGCTCACTACCTTAAATGGGGCTTACCTATTGTATATATATCCTAAGTGTATATATTGGGTGCCCTGTGTATATATTTAAGCTGTGCAAAAATGACATACTTTGTTTCTCATCAAAACTCTCAATTGCTTACCCTTAGGACATGATGTTTCAACTCCTACGAGGGCTTGATTTTCTGCATTCGCACAGAGTGGTCCACCGTGATCTGAAACCGCAAAACATTCTAGTCACCAGCAACGGGCAGATAAAATTAGCCGACTTTGGCCTTGCAAGGATCTACAGTTTTCAAATGGCTCTTACATCTGTGGTAAGTTTCAATGTGTTCTTTCTTTAAATCTAATTTCAGGATTTAGTTTTGCATAGATGTTCTTTGGTCGTTATTTTAGAACAACTAAATAAAGCAAAAGATAGGTGTTACTATTTGAGAAGCGTTACAGTTGAACTTTATCTGAAGCGATTGCCATTACTGCAGGGTGGTAAATTATTCCTACAAATTGCTGAATCTGACTGCTCAGTCCTGTACTTGTTTCCGTGGAAGTAAGTTCATGAAAAGTCCAGTGTACAAAGAATCAAAGCCTGATTGACATTCCAAGACGATATACAAAGGTGGACTTCCCTGAATATTATGCTTTTTTTTATCTTTTCCTACTTCATTAAACTGTTTTAATATGCAGCGACTGCACATTACACAGGAGGTATAGTACAGTTGGCATTTTTCCTCCCCTTCTGAATCACATCTTGATAGTGCTTAGAAGGAGGTCTGCGAGTTTCTTAAAAGATAATGTAGCAGTTGCTGCTTTGCTCAGCAGGCAATGTGAGTAGAGTTCACAAGAGGGAGAAAAATAAAATATGGCACCATGAGCTTGTTTACATGACTATTTGTGACCTGGTTGTGCATCAATTAATTGCCATTTGTTTATGGCATTGGAGTAGGAAAAATATGAGATGATCAGATATTATTTCCTTGGTCTTGTAGTGATATTTGGGTCATCATATTAGTCAAACAAGAATTTAAAAGTAAAAACGGTCCACTATGTGTCCCATTTTCAGTTTTTTAAAAAAGATTGTGCTCTCCAAGCATGAGCAAAAAAACCCGCCTGCCTCTCAAGCAAACCTTACAGTTCTAAAATGTGCAAGAGAATTTGTAGCAGATCTGAAGCTTAAGCTTCCTAGTAATCTTAAAGGGCTGCTCCAGAGGCGCAAAGGAACATATGAAAGCTGCCCTATACTGAGTCACACCATTAGCCCATCTAACTCATTGGCAGTGGCTCTCCTGGATTTCAAACTGGGAGTCTCTCCTCACCCTACCTCATGCATGCAAAGGAGATGCTTCATCACTGAGCTACAGTTCTTCCTGGACATCCCATATGGCAGGGTCTTATTACAGAAGTGGCCTTAACACTATATGCAAATGATAAAGAATACCCCTAGCTTATAGCTACATTCTGCTTCTTAAATAAACAAGGTCAGGTCCAGGTATATATGTTGGCATGTGGAGTTTGTCTGCTGCAGCAGAAGTTGACTTTAGTTAAATGAACCCTTGCCTGGAGCATACCTTTAGTTGAAAGGTATTCAGACTAAGGCTTTGGTATAAAATAAGAAAGCTTATGTTTACTAAAGGAAGTACACTCTTGATAGGAAAGCATTCTGTAGTCCTAGCTGCCTATCTGGTTGGAGAAATGAAGAAAGCTATGCTTATCCCTTTATTCTCAGAAGACAAATCCAAACTGACCGCTTGCCTCAAGGTCCAGAGAAAGTGTGTGAGGAGGAGCAGGAAATTGTAAACAGGATGCAACCTAAGACTTGCTGGTCATCAAAGAGCTAAAGTGGTCTGCATAGAGATAAAGGTACAGAGATAGGAAGCTGGAAATCTTATCTCTCTTAACCCATGCAAACCTCTCTCAGCCAGCTGACTTGCATCCAGAGTTCCAACAGCAGTTGGGAACAATGATATAGAACATTACACTGCTGACACTGCTCCAAACCTTACGAGGGCTCCTGTGTGCCACATGGATCCTGTGGTTTAGTTGCACATTGAGACAGCCGATGCCTACAATCTCCATTCATAGTATAGTACAGTGTTTCCTAACCTTGGGCCTGCAGCTTTTTTTGGACTACAATCCCCATCATCCCTGACCACTGGTCTTGCTAGCTAAGGATGATGGGAGTTGTAGTCCAAAAGCAGTTGGAGACCCAAGTTTGGGAAACACTGATATAATAGAACTGTAGGTAGCACCTAATAGGTCATCTAGTCCAACCTCCTGCTCTAAATCATTATCATTTTCCAGCTAATGGTTCCCTTGCAGATATCTGTCCAAACTGTCCAAAGAAAATGACTTCACATTGCTGAGCTTATCTAAATCATCAGGAAGCTCTTCCTAATGTTTAACCTAAACTCTTCTCCCCAGAGTTTAGAGTCTTCGCTTCTGTTCTTCACCTTGAGAGCGAACAATTTGGGAGTCACTTAACAGATGTTTCTATACAGGACTGGGTACCTCATGTTCTAGGAGCTGTGCACATAATGAAGTTATAGAAAGTCCCCTGTCAGGGTTATCATTATGATCAGTCGACATGTGAACTCTCTGTCATTTCCTACAGCGGTGCAGTATATTGAGGCCAGATAAAGAATTATTTCTTGAAGTATCAGTTCTTTCCCAAGATACATCCTCATTCTCTGACTACAAAGGAACTCCTCTAGTGGAACAGAAAGAGCCGTGAAAGTAAGGCAGCATAAAGAACTGATCCAGCCTAGTTGACTGGGTGCTGCAAACCGATAACTTCAAAGTATTTTAGCTGCAATGATTACTTCCCAAATAGTAAAGCATTCTTTTGGCAGGTAAACCTTCTGGGCATATTTCTGTCATTTGTAATCCCTTGATGCTTCCTCTGATAAATGAATGGAAGCCTCAGAATAAATCGACACATGTTTATGTAGAGAATACCAGTCCCGGAGCTAGGAAATCGGAGCAATTGATAGTCCTATGTTGAACATCTGGGCTTGTTCTCAGAAGCAGAACAGTGGGGACAAGTATTCAGTGTCATGTGGAGTTAAACTGTTCTGCAAGTGTTGGTGCTGGCTCTTGGGAAAGCTTTGATTAGAAGAGGCGGGAACTGTTCAAATCTTTGGAGAGCTTCTGCCAATTGGATTTGATTGTGCTACACAGGATAGACCGATGGCTTGACTTGATATGGTGCAAATGGACATGATAGGTTGCTTCATTCGGGGGTATAGTAGAAATGGCACCAAAAATTGCAATGAATGCAGTGAGCTAAGTAATTTATTTGGGGGGGGGGAGGTAAAGCCCAGTTTACCCAGTTTATCTAAAGCCACAATGTTGATATAATCAGACGTTTGTTTCAATGACAGTTTGGTTTACATGCTATTTTATTCCAAGAATGGGGAGCCTTTGGGACTCCTGATATTGTTGAACTACAACTGACATCAGCCTCAGTCAGCCTGTCATGGAACAAGTACCCTGCCAGAAAGGGTCACCAACATAATTAAAGGTAAAAGGTAAAGGTACCCCTGCCCGTACGGGCCAGTCTTGACAGACTCTAGGGTTGTGCGCCCATCTCACTCAAGAGGCCGGGGGCCAGCGCTGTCCAGAGACACTTCCGGGTCACGTGGCCAGCGTGACATCGCTGCTCTGGCGAGCCAGAGCCGCACACGGAAACGCCGTTTACCTTCCCGCTAGTAAGCGGTCCCTATTTATCTACTTGCACCCGGGAGTGCTTTCGAACTGCTAGGTTGGCAGGCGCTGGGACCGAACAACGGGAGCGCACCCCGCCACGGGGATTCGAACCGCCGACCTTTCGATCGGCAAGCCCTAGGCGCTGAGGCTTTTACCCACAGCGCCAAAGGGATAGCCTTTTATTTATTTATTTTTATACATTCATATTGTGCCTTTCTTCCATTGTGGAACTCGGTGGGGGGGGGGTGTATGTGGTTCCCAGGTTCTTAACCTATCCGAATACTGACCAGACCCTGTCTTGCATAGCTTCAACAGGGTGGTGGCCTCACGTGCCTTCAGGCCATACGCTGAACCATCTACATATTCTACAAGTTTACTCTTATTAATAAATCAGAGAAGCTATGGCCCTCCAGATGTTGCTGGACTAAAACTATTTAACATCCCTGATCAGTGGTCATGCTGGCTGGGACAGCTGAGTCCAGTTATATTTGGAGGCTTCTCAGATTCCTAAGATCAGCAGTATACAATCAGGTTCATATAATCAGCAGTAGAGTTCATATATTAACATATATAGTTAATATATGTCTATTCAACTGTATTTTTCATCTCATGTGTGACTTCACTCTCCTTTACTGAACATATACCATTTGCTGTATTTGTATGGCACTGCTATGGTTAACGAATACCCAATCTGAAACTTCAATGCAACAAAGGCATGGATAGTTTTAAACAATTTGTTTCATTACAAGCTATCTTTACCTTATGTAATTCGAACGGTAGAAATTTTAAATAAGTAGAGTCCCATCCATCGTATCAGTTCTTGTGGGAAAATATGCTTCAGTGACTTACTGGCACTGGCTATGGAATGTGGCATTTAAAAGTACCTTTTTACAGTGGGAAAGAATTTGGTCGAGAATAAACAGTCTGACCTTGTTAAATGGACCAAAGTCTGTACAGATCCTAGTTCCAGAAAGCTAGTTTCTACTAGACTGTGAAAGAAAGCTCAGTTTGCAATTAATGCCATTAGGAGTGGGAAGGCTTTGGAGAGTCCTGCGCACTGTGTAAAGCTAAATGTTTCACATCAAAAGTGTGGAATTAAAAAGCCATATATAGCATTATTGTCTTGATATAATCACGTTTGAGAGACGTGATTTATATTTATATTTGGAAATAGAAATCGAAAATTAATAATAATAATAATAATAATTTTTTCCAACCCCTTTTGTGGAATGCTCTCCCCAAGGAAGTTCCACTGGCCTTCATTATACACCTTTAGGCGCCAGGCAAAAACGTTCCTCTTTAACCAGGTCTTTGGCTGATTGACATCCAATGCCCTTTTAAATGTGCTGTGGAAGGGGGATCATTGGTTTGTTTCTGTTCTTATTTTTATTATGCATTTTGGTTTTTTTATATTTTATGTTGTGAACTGCCCTGAGGTCTACGTGCATAGGGCAGTATGAAAATGTAATAAATAAATAAAAATATGAGAATCCGGACCATAGGAAGCAGCCTTATTTCAAGTCAGAGTACAGTGCTGTAGAGGTGGTTCAGGCAGGAGTCTTCCCCATCCCTACCTAGAGATACCAGGGATTGAACCTGCAAAATGTATGCTCTCTCACTGAAGCTGTGGTATTCAGAAGTTCTTAGAAAAATACAGATCTACTTCGTTTTGCAGCACTAGCAACAGAACTCTGAGACACCCCAAAGCCCTTCAGCTGTATAGATTAGGAGTCATATGATGCAAGAATCTGCAGAAATTAATTTACTATTTCAGACAATTATCCTGAATGGATCTTCCTAAGTAAACATTCTAAATATCAAAAGAGTGAGAAAATAAAATATATACTGAATACTTTGATAAATAGTTATTTCCCCTAATGAATATGTTAATTCACATTAAACTTCCACCCTACATCTTCTACATTGAAGACAGACACAAAGGATTCATTCAGCTTCTCTTCAGTCTCCTTTCCCCCCTTTTGGACACCTTTGACTCCCTTGTTGTCCAAAGGGCCAACTGCCTCCCTTAGCCGGTTTCCTGTTCCTAATATATTTAAATATTTTTTTATTGTTGGTCTTTTAGTTTTAGTCAAGAAAGCGAACTGTGGTATATTAACATAAGATGGTTTCAGCTCAGTACAAGTCAAGAGTTAGGGTAGAGTTTACCTTTGGCCAAGTTTAAAGGCCGTATTAAAACAAAACAAAACAGAAACAGCAGCAAAGAATGCTTCTTTTGAATCTCTGCATTGTTTCCAGATTTTTATAACCAGTGTAAACATTACCTGAACTTTATCTGAGCTTCCTGAATTGCCTTTCATTTTGTAACACCAGCATTTACCATACAAAGGTTGGCATAGTTGCCAAGAGCAAGCAAACCTGCCTCACCAAGCAAGCTTAGCATTGAACAGATTGAATATTTGCAACCATTCTCAGTGGAGTAACTTTCTGAAAGCTACAAGCACAGTAGAAGACTGCAAACCAATAGCTGTTCTTGCCTTTCCCATCCTTTCTAAATGTGATTTGGGTTACTGTTGGACAACCATAGTCATCATTTGACTTCGACTGGATATGGACATCTTACCTCAACTCCCCAATGCTTCCAGATCCCGGCGACTAAAGTGCTTTCCCCTACAAGGCCCTTTGCTATTTCTGATTTAAACTAATCAGATTGTAGAATCATCTTTCTACATAGGGATATCACCAGCTGGATTGAGATCTAGGAAAGTTCCCACTGATTTTTTGTTGTTGTTGAAATCACTACAAATGACGTTTACATATGCGTAGCCTGACCTCCATAACTGCACCAGTGCTTAGGCATAGATTTGAATATACAGAGCATTTGGCCTCTCAGAAGAGAGGAGGAAGTGGTGCAGTTTTAAAAGGAAAACCTTAATAATCACAGGCACAAGAGGAGAAGGAATGGAGTATTGATTTGCCATGGTAGCCCTAAATTTAAATGTTTTGTCTCCTTGGATCTCTCTTTGGCATCCAGGTTCCCTTAGCCTAGGTGTGTGTGTGGGGGGGTGTATTCAGTTTCCTAATTGATCATAAGGCATTCGATTTTCTTTTTATATCCCTGCTGCTTGGTTTACTGCATAGCTGAAATTCTTTCCCAGTGAATATGTGAAATATTATAGCCTGGATTAGCAATTAATGTCACAGATGACATACCTTTGTTCTACGCATTACTGAAGGTAGGTGTCCAACAAGGAACTTTTCCATCTCAATGATTTTTTTTTAAAGCCAACCACAAGACATTCCTAATAGGTAAAGACAAGTGGGAACCCGTGAAAAAATTTCCATTGTTTGTGCACTTTGCTCCTGTCTTTTACATTGATGTTGCTGCATTCCCATCCCCTTTCCGTGCATGTGTGAAATACGGGGTCTTCTTTTAGCTCTGTGATTTAGATCCCAGATTTCTGTTCATTGCATGAACAATTCTGGTGCTTTTGATGTATCTGAAATATATGAACTACATAAGATGGCACAGAGAGTGGGAAGGGCTGTAGCTGAGTGGTAGAGTGTTTGCCTCGCATGCAAAAGGTTTCAGGTTCAATCCCTGGCATCTCCAGGTAGGGCAGGGAGAGACAAAAACAAAATAGGACTAATAAAATAATACTAGTTACTCTGACCTGGTTTGCATGTCACATTAAAGCATAGTTAAAATAAACCATGGTTTAATGTGAGCAAGCAGCGGGCTGGTGGTGGATGTTACTGAAATATTGGACCACCACTGCTCCCTCTGCTACCAGGAAATGTGTAATGGTCTGGCTTGTCATGTTGCCTAAACCTAGGCTTGTGATTTGTTTCCTTCAAACTAGCCACATTCAGTAAGCCAAGAACAAACTTTATACGTATATTTTGTAGTAATACTACTAGCGTTATGCCCATATTGCATGGCCTTAACAGTGGGGGATTTGGAAACTACGGCAATTGCTCAAGTGTCCAGAAAACGACGTGGGATTGTCATACTAACTGGTTTTACACATCAGTCATAGCTTGGTAGCAAGTGAAGCGAATGAAGAGTGAGCCTGGTTTGTTGTTGGATCCTGGGGGAGAGGGAATGGCTGTATGCGTCAGTAGATTAGCCGGCTGATTAAGAAGAGGAAGTATATGTTGTAATTGCATGTTGATGAAAAGAGTTTTTAATCTCCCATTGCTATTATATCTGGAGCATGGGGGAGGGGAAACATGGGGGGAGGGGTGGGGAATCTATTTAAAATACCAGACTAATTAATACATTCAAGAGAATGTTACAGACATATTTATAAGCCCTGGAATTTCCCCTACTGTTTAGCTCTGCTTGCAGCCATGCATAATGGCAATCTGTGGTCCATTCCGTATCCCAAAGAGAGAGCGGATGGAGGTGCAGGGTGGGGAGGGGTGCAGAGAGAGCTCCCTCAGTCCCCTCCCCTCTGGTCCTTTGCTGCTGGTGCTTTCCCCCCATGGCTTTTCATGTCAGGACTTCCATAATTAAAGGGAGGAAAGTAAATTAATTACATGAATATTAAAAGGTTACTCATCCGTTTTAACATTTGGTCACTAGTTGGCTAATGAAAAGGAACTCGGGGGGCTGGAGGCCTGCCATGCTGCTTCTCCGCTTTCTTTAGTAGGCCACATGCTGAAGCAATGATTGTGCGTGACAGATTCTGGAAACAAAGAGTCTGCGCGCAGCTCATCCAGACGGAGCATGCTTTGCTAAATTGCACCAATAGCAGGGTGGCCTACAGGCAAACAAAATGGTTAAACAATACATAATAAAAGTTTTTATTTGGTATTTCCTGTGAGGCCGTGCCAGTTGCCAAGGGGTGTTCTCTATTTCCACCTCTCTACACCCCCCCACACACCCCAAAAAACTTTGGTTGTATTAATTGTTGACCACAGCTGGCAAAGAACCAAACTAGCAGGGACAGATAAGGAAGGAGGGGAGGGGAGGGGTGGGGTAATGGCATCTGGACATTGAAGAGCAGGGGGGGGAGCACAAAAAATTACAGCATATATCTGGAATTTTCCAGCTAACGATGTGCGGATGTGGTAGTGCTAGAGAAAAAGAGCCAAACTGAGACTGCTTTGTTCGGTAAGAGAGAGGCCCCCTGTAACATTCCTTTTAGCTGTGTATATTTTGGCTTCAGTTGTGCAGTGTTAACTATATGCTGTGTATGGAGCACATCAGTTGTTAGCTGCATGTATATATAGAGATAGATAGATTTTGTTGCAATCGATAAAAGACCGTCTGTGGCACATGAAAAATTTGGTAAAGGGACACCTGGAGCTGCTTGGAGTGTTTTGATATTTGTGTAATATTAAGGGTTGGGGGCAGATGCAAAAAAATGCAAGACTTCACAGCAACAGCTGCCTTTAGGGGACACACAGATGCAATGAATGCTGCCTTTTTAAAACCCATCAATGAAGTGAAAGAATTTAGAGCTAGCTGATGTAATGAAAAGACCAGTGACTTAACATAGTTGCTTGGGATAAAAATAGGAAGTGAAGAATCTGATATAACCTTTTCTGTTCTGTTCTTTATTCCTAATCATTAAGCAATTGACTCTTTGTTAAACAGGGGAGTTTTACAGTATGCTGAGTGATTATTCACAATAGCCCTATCACCACCACCCCTGGCAGTAATCATAGCAAGAAAACTGGGAGCCAAAATGATTTGCTGTTGTTGTGGGGAAGACGCTGAAGGAAACCACAACAACTAATTCGAAATACGCTGTTAAACTGCAAAAAAAAAAAAAAACAACCCCAGAGAAATTGAAAGAACAGAAACCAAAGGTTAAGAGTCTTAAGGGTACCATATAAAATGCGTAGGCGTAAAGACGTCATCGACCTACGCCTCGGACTGCATGTTAAAGTTGCCAGATTTAGTAGCCTCCAGGAGTATCCGGCCCTCAGAAGTCAGGCTAGGATCCAAGGAGCTGCTTTCGGCATTGCCAAGGAGCTTCAGCATCCCTGTATAATGGTTGCAAACTCCGCCCTTTGAATGGGAGACTCCCATACTGTAACACATACTGCTTTTTGAGAGCCCCCTCCTTTTCATTCTGCTTGCCATGCTGCGTAGGGGGCTGCCTTTTAAGAACCACTGTTGCAGAATGTTTGTAGCTTAGTGCTGGAGCATCTGCCTTGCATTTAGAAAGTCCTAGGTTACAGCATCTACCAGGTAGAAGTGGGAGAGATTCCCGTCTGAAACCCTGGAGAGCAGCTGCCTGTCTGTGTAGACAATACTGAGCAGGGATGGATCTAATGGTCTGACTCCATATAAACGACAGCTTCTTACGTTCCTACATTCCTTGAGTGCCTGTAGTTTCCTCTTTCCATCATAGTAGCAGTGAAAATCTACGCAGGTTTGCTCACAAGTAAGTAGATAAATAGGTACCGCTCCGGCAGGAAGGTAAACGGTGTTTCCGTGCACTGCTCTGGTTTCACCAGAAGCGGCTTAGTCATGCTGGCCACATGACCCAGAAAAACTGTCTGTGGACAAATGTCAGCTCCCTCGGCCAGTAAAGCGAGATGAGCGCTGCAACCCCAGAGTTGTTTGTGATTGGACTTAACTGTCAGCGGTCCTTTACCTTTTTTTTAAGTCTTTCTATATTGAGAGGGGCTTACTGCATAGGATTGCTCTGCCAGCCTTTTCTGGTCTATGGCACCCAGTTCAGACACCTTAGATGATAGTTTGCCCAAATCAGAGCTGTCAGATCTTCTGATTTTTCTCTCTCAGGATTGTGGGTATTTTCCTAAACCCTAATTGTAAAATGTTAAAACGCTTAACATTGCAGTGTACATAAAATTTAGAAAAAAGAAAAGAAAAAAATATAGAATTACTTACAGTCCAAAAGGCTTGTACAAAATAAAGCAGGGAGAAGGAAGAGAAAACAGGAACATAATATGCAAAGATGAGGTCAGCTCATTGTCCGCTCTGTGAAACGCTTCCGATGCTCCTGAGTCATTTCTGGTTATTTTGTTTATTATTATATTAATAGCCCACATTTCCTCCAGGGAGCTTAAGGTGGAATGTATGGTCCTCCTCCGCCCCTCCATTTTATCCTCACAGCAACCCTTTGGGGTAGGTTAGTCTGAGAGACTGTGACAGGCCCAGGACTACCCAGTGAGCTTCATGGTTGAGCTCTGGTCTCTCAGGTCCTAGTCCACACTCTGACTTCTACACCTCACCGGCTCTCTTTCCATATCAGCTCCCACTGAAGAACCATCAGCCACCTGAGCATTTAGCCAGCAACCTCCATAACAAAACTCTGGCTGTCACCAAGGAAAGGTAATGGGCAAAACATTTTGGAAAAGTAGGCTTCGTGATTATGAGATGTTACTTACTTGGGTGGTTGAAATCACAAACAAGTATCACAAGGTGCTGGTCCTGTCCCATCTAGATTGCTGCAAGGAACGGCTGTTTTTGCAAGTGCTTGCCTGCTAAGCCTTTCATTTCATTTCATTTCTTCCTTTCATAAAAGGTAAAGGTAAAGGTACCCCTGCCCGTACGGGCCAGTCTTGCCAGACTCTAGGGTTGTGCGCCCATCTCACTCAAGAGGCCGGGGGCCAGCGCTGTCCAGAGACACTTCCAGGTCACGTGGCCAGCGTGACAAGCTGCATCTGGCGAGCCAGAGCTGCACACGGAAACGCCGTTTACCTTCCCGCTAGTAAGCGGTCCCTATTTATCTACTTGCACCCGGGGGTGCTTTCGAACTGCTAGGTTGGCAGGCGCTGGGACCGAACAACGGGAGCGCACCCCGCCGCGGGGATTCGAACTGCCGACCTTTCGATCGGCAAACCCTAGGCGCTGAGGCTTTTACCCACAGCGCCACCCGCATCCCTTTCTTTCATACTCCTATGCTAACCTTGAATGATGAAACACCATTGGGAAAGTGTGCGGTAGAAGTTGGGAAGGGGGAAGAGCCAAGCAGGGGTAAAGACTGCCAGTCTTTTCCTTGCAGGGCTTCAAATATCTTTAAGAGCAGCATGGCAGGCAGGCATCTAACGGGTGAAGCTATAGCTGGCTTGGAAGTTTAAATTATAGGAAAACTCACTGCAGCCAAACATTGGCAACCCTTGCAGCTGTACATGCAGGGGGATTGTAGGGGCTGAGCAGGTGTGGGAGGAAGCCACAGCATGGAGGCTGTAGAAGTTAGATTGCTTTATAAATTAATGTGCCCATCAAGTTTTGTAGTTGGGAAAGGTTGCAGAACATGCATCAAGTTTGGTTAGCAAGTAAAATTTCGTAAACGTTTGAGGAAAGCAATCAGCAGATGTGTAAGGCAAACTGGGAATAGAAGGGTGACTTGTTTGCTCTGCTTTGCTTATCCAAAAAAGGAGAAACTGAAATCTGTGAGGTGCACCTAACTCCTCTCTGTGTTGAATCCTCCCTTTTTGCTTCAGTCTGTCTTTAATTTCAAGACCAATTCCTTTAGTGAGTATATGCCAGGAGGAGGAATCACCACCACCAGTTCCAGCAGTGCTCATTGGCTAGGCAGGAAGAAAGCATTTCTTCCTAAATTGGATGCTTCCTTCTCTCCTGCAGACTCAGTATGCTGTTTCACAACCCTGTAATCTAAAGTCCAT